ATGCCAAAATTATGACAAAATTGAAAAAATATGAGAAAATGTTACAAAATCAATATTTTCATCTTTAGAGAGATATTTTTATGCGATTTCTTTAGAGGTTTTTTCTTTCTTGCCAAAAGGCCATTCTGAATTAATGAGAACTGTCGAAATCAGTTCAGCCGTTCTCGACACATAAGAGATCTTTCAAGCATATCTTCTTTGATAGACATATATATCGCACATATTTTGCTATATATCCGATTTGTTGGATGTTAACATCAATGTAAAGATCAGAAGTAACATTGTCATGGCTTTGTGATTTCGCCGGGATTTAAAATATTCGCGGTTTAATGAAAAATTTTGAATTTTTTCAACACAAAAGATATGGTCTATTTTACCCGCTAAATATTATCCGATGACCACCCAAATTGGTAGGCTTCTTCCCCGCCCTAAACTCTAGCTACATGCGAAATTCCGCGTCGATTGGTCTATAATTGTATAGCTACTGCAAAATACGACATTTTTTCAGTATTTGGTCCATTTCAACCCCTATACATTTGGCGATCATCTCCAAAAGAAATAGACTTCTATTCTGACCCTAACCCCACCCTCGTGCAAGATTTCGTAAGGATCGGGCGACCTGTAGCGTGATTACAAATACGAGAGACGGACAGACGGACGGACATACATAGCTAGATCGACTCAGCTCGGCGAGCTAGGAAGATCCATATATACTTTCCTATATGGGAAACCAATATTTCGAGGTGTTACATAAATTCTGGCCCAATCAAACTTATAATACCCCCAACACATAGTGTTGTAGGGTATAAAAATTATTGCCTTTCAAATGGCTTAGGATATTAAAATTTCGATTTGACTGAATTTAACAGTTTATTTACATTTTTTCTCATGGATTCCCATGAAGGCATTAACGGGAGAGATTTGATGGCAAATAACAATATCGACAAAACAATGAAAAACTTTTCTGCATTAATTTGTCTACAATTTTCTAATAAAGATGATTAGGCCAACAATGAATGACGTAGACGCATTATTTAATTAATCATTTGAGTTATTTCAAAAGTACGTCTACCCTAACCAACATTGATCTTATCTTCATCTCTAGTGAGCCTTAGCTATAACTATAAAGATAAATACGACGAAAGTGCAAATAAAAAAATTAAAATAAACAAATCAGAAAAAATGTCATCCAAGCCTGAAATCTGGGGCTAAGTATAACTGCAAATAAATTCATCATCGTTTATTCTGTTGTAGCCTTAATGATGGTTATCTACCCTTGGGCTGGACATGGTTTTAAGAGAGACAAAACAAAACAGAAGAAAACCGCACCACCAGCCGCTAGTTTACGTATAATTTCCTTTGATAAGCCAGCATTGCAGGACAGCTCACAAGACAAACATTATTATGGCAGGAATAAATGTGGCTTACATAATTGTTTCCTAGTAACAACGGTTTGCTATGCAAATTCAATTCTACCAAAACCATTTTTTTTTTTCAAATGTCTTTTCTTCTGGAAAGACACTTTGTGTAATAATGAATGCTAAACACGAACATATATTTCCAAATACCGCAAATTTAATTAGAACATCATTTTTATGCTGTGATTCCCTTGCCAGAAAAACATAAATTAACAAATCTATAACTGAAGAGAAGTAAGGAGGATCAATTTTGAGAGAGACCGACACTAGAGCAGTACTTTTACTTTTGAAAAAGCGTAAAAAAAGTTTCTGAAAAACAGGAAAACTCAATAGTAGAAAGTAGAGCTAAACAGAGAAGACGAGTGTGTCAACAGAAGTCAAGTTCCTAACATTTTCCAATTTTTTGTTAATATTCGAATTGTTTTTTTCACGAAATGCTTGCATTTAAGGCACACAGTATCTTTAGTAATATTACTGATAACAATTCGAGGAGTTCTGTTGTCATATTTTTTTAGGGGTATATTTGACCCCCTTTTTCAGAAAAGTCAAAATATTCTAATTCGCATATGCTTAATCGCAATAACTTTGCAAACAACGGCCCTTGTAAGCCATCATCCACACACTGATGAGCAGGTTGACCAACGACGAAGCGCATCGTATAGTGGTAAGTGTCTGATAGTGGCTGTCTGCCTATCCTCTTCACTGCAAACTCAGATCATTTATTTCGTGTCGAAGGAGAGGCAAAATTTACATTTACATTTTAATTTTATTTAAGAACAGGTAAAAAGTTATAAGCTCGGTCGTCCGAACTTTGAATACCCTCCACCATATGGAAAGAATTGGCAAATTTTCAAGAAAAAAAATAAAATCCGCTAAAAATTCTGTTAATATCTTATACATACCGACTGTAGCCGTTATATTAGGGTATATACGACGACGTGGACCTGCATAGGCAGCTTTTGTCATGAGACATTACAATATTCAAATGCGAAACTTGAACAAAACAAATCGGACAATAATGTAGCTAAAATCATCAAAATACCAAATTCAGGGGGGTGCCATGGGGGCAATACCAAAACGTTGACATGCACAGACACTTTTCTGTCATAGGCTGTAGCATTCATTACGAACTTCAAATACCAATTCCGGCGAAGAATGTCGCTAAAATCACCAAAGTACCGAATGTCGGGACGAACCGTTTATTTAGGGCTATAACAATAGTTATGGCCCATTTTCAATACCGAAAGTCCTGCAGCCATAATATACATTTGAGTAAGATTTTATCAACCTACTTCATTTCGTTCGGAAGCTAGAGTAATTTCCACAGACGGAAGGACATCGCTAAATCGACATATTTGAAGTTCATAATGTATACTACAGCCTATGACAGAAAATTTTCTGTTCAGGTCCACATCTTTGTATAGCCGCCATAAAACGATACCTCCCTATATTCGGTATTTTGATGAGTAAAGTACTCAAAAAAAACTCCTTGTGAAAAAAATCAAACAATTGAAAAGTTCTGGTGGCCAACCGAAGGTGCACTTTTCTGGTGATCTCTTTGGCAAGTAAACACAATAATTTTGTTTGTTTACAAACTACTGGACAATGAATGTTTTCTCATCGCAGAAAACCAAATTCGGCAGTTCACCACTCGGCCAAGCGAAGCAACTCTTTAGCTCTTTTGAGTTTATTTATACCCTACACCACAAGGTGGTCAGGGTATTATGTCTTTGTGCATTTGTTTGTAACAGGCAGAAGGAAACGAGGTAGACCCATAGTTCCTTTTAATGATCTGCATAGAATCACATTCTGAGTCGATTTATGCATGTCCGTTCGTCCGTCTGTCCGTCTGTCTATGTATTTTTGTTAACAAAGTACTGTTCGCATTTATTGCCCTATCCTGATGAAATTTTGCACAAATCATTTGTTTGGCCCAAGGACGAACCCTATTGAAATTACAGATAATCGGTCAAAATTTAGATATAGCTCCCATAAATATCTTCGTCCGATTTGCCTTTTATTGTGCACCAAACGTTTAATATCAGTCCGAATAGTATGAAATTTTGCACGTACGATCAGATTGGACCTGAAAATAAGTATGCCAAATTTGATTCGAAATCGGTTCAGATTTAGCTATAGCTCCCATATATATTGTTCATCCGATTTGTTATATTTGTTACTCACAGCCGTAATATGCACTCCGTAACAACGATATTCAGGGAAATATATTAAATACAGCTCAGAAATATCTTTGCCAAATTTTATCGAGATCGGTTCCGATTTGAATATAGCTCCCATATATATTTTTTACCGATTTCAAATTAATTGTGCACCAAATGGACAATACAAGTCCGAATTTAAAAGATACAAATGCTTCGGCATACTTAGTCCTTTGAACTTTAAATTATAATTATAATCATAGCGTGTATGATTGAATTCTCCCATAAAAACTTTTAATTGTTATGTGGAGCTCTACTTAATTAGCAAAGTGGTGTAGGGTATTATAAAGTCGGCCCCGCCCGACTTTAAGACTTTCTTTACTGGTTTCTTTTTGTTGCGGTGTATGTTCTAGCACTTTTTGGAATTTCAATAGCTTTACCCCGAGCTCATTTTTCAATATTTGCCGAATGGAATATTGCGATATGTTCAGTTCAAGAGCCATTTTTCGGTCACTGCGACGTCGGTTTCGATCAAATCGCTTCTTTACTTTTCAAACCATTTCTGCTGATGTTGCTGTTTTCTTCTGTCCACTTCCTTGACGTCTGGCTACGCTACCAGTATCACGGTAATGAGCGAAAATACGAGACACAAAAGATTTATTCACATTTAAATGGTGGAGTGCTCTAACGATAGCCACTTGTGGTTTTCCAGCCAAATATAAAAAAATCACACTATCACGTTTGAATTTCATCACGAATAACTTTTTTTCTGGAAAATTCTCACCAAAATGCTTTTGTGCGCTTGTAAACAATATAATGAACTGTCATTGGAATAATTTTAAGAGCTGTCGGACGAGTGGCTTAGAAATGACAGCAGTCTGAAGTTGATTGCAGTTTTTTCATCTCACCGTGTATTGAGCAAGATGTTTTTTGACAGTGAAACAAAACACGAAACAAACGTGAGCTGTTGAAACCAATGTTGCCATAAAAAGATAATAGCTTAAATAATCACCCCATACAAATGGGTTATATTCCACATTTAGGTTTACGATAACTTTTCTTTATTTTAAAGGTTTCAGCCCCACTTTCCAAAGAAATCAGCATAAAATAAACATTCTTGCTCTTACGAAAAACAAAATTTCTATATTTAAAGTTAGTCCCCATTTGCCGATGGATACAAATACTTTTACTAACTTTTTAAAATAAACTGTAATTTCCTGATAAATAAATGCAAATATTGTAAAAGCAGAAAAATATCCCTTTTTCAATTTAATTCCACCAAAAATATGCCCATTGACATTAGTTTGCGTTCCGTTAATGCGCCAACATTTATATTTGACAAACAACAATGTAACCACCATAAAAAAAAACAAATCCAATAGTTATTTAAACACATAAAATAACGAAACAAGTAGTTGTTGTTTTTATAATTTTATTTTTATTTATTCATTTTTTTATTTGTTATATGCATCAACAATTTCAACAATACTAACGTACGTTCCGACCACACCACCCAGAGCACCAAATGCCACAAGCAATAAATTTTTGGTTAATCTTATCTTCCATGGACCATAACCGGTCGTGTACTGCACGCAGATCTGCAACAGGGCTGGGAAAATTAAACCCAAAATCGACAAACAAAACGAGCCGACCAGCGAAAGGAAAAGTGATAAATCCGGAATGGCAACAGCACAACAAACTGCAAAAACAAAATAGAAAGAAATAATTTTAATTTATTTGCATTGCTGCCGCTTGTTTAAATAAAAAATTGTAGTTGTTGTTGTTGCTATTAGCACAGAAATACAATGTTGTTGAGAATAAATAAAAATAGCGAAATTCCCATTGTGATGGAAAACATACATCTTGTCGTTGTCAAAACAAATTTAAAGAAAATATACAAATACAATAATTGCCGAGCTTCGAAGCGAAGTCGATGTTTGGTAATGGAAGGGAAACCTTAATGTTTTTTATACCCTCCACCAAAAAAGTATGGAGGGTATATTAAGTTCGTCATTCCGTTTGTAACTCATCGAAATAATCCTTTTAGACCCAACAAAGTATATATATTCTTGATCAGCATAAAATTCTAAGACGATTTAGCCATGTTCGTCCGTCTGTCCGTCTGTTGTAATCACGCTACAGTCTAAACGAATTAAGATAGGAAGCTAAAATTTTGCACAGATCTCTCGTTTGTCTGCAGGCAGGTCAAGTTCGAAGATGGGGTATATCGGTCTACGATATCGTATAGCCCCCATATAACGGTACCCCAAGATATTCGGTATTTTGATGATTTTACCCACATTTTTCAACGGAATTGTCTGAAAATCCACACAAGTAATTTCTTGTGGGTACTTTATACCTCGGCAGAGAATTATCTATATAGGTCCACGACATCGTATAGCCCCCATATAACGGTACCCCCCGATATTCGGTATTTTGATGATTTTATCCACATTTTTCAATGGAATTGTCTGAAAATCCACACAAGTAATTTCTTGTGGGTACTTTATACCTCGGCAGAGAATTATCTATATAGGTCCACGGTATCATATATCCCCCGTATAACTGTACCACCCGATATTCTGTATTTTGATGATGTTAGCCACATTTTTCAATGGAATTGTCTTAAAATCCACACAAGTAGTTCCTTGTGAGTACTTTACCCCCTAAGAGAGAATTGTCTATACAGGTCCACAATATCGTATAGCCTCCATATAACGGTACCCCCGATATTTGGTATTTTGATGATTTTATCCACATTTTTCAATGGAATTGTCTGAAAATCCACACAAGTAATTCCTTGTGGGCACTTTATCCCTCGGCAGAGAATTATCTATATAGGTCCACGACATCGTATACCCCCATATAACGGTACCCCCCGATATTCGGTATTTTGATGATTTTATCCACATTTTCAATGGAATTGTCTGAAATTCCACAAAAGGAGTCCCTTGTGGGCATTTTACCCCGTCAAAAAGAATTGTCTACATAGGTCCACGATATCGTATATCCCCCATATAACTGTACCCCCCGATATTCGGTATTTTGATGATTTTACCACATTTTTCAACGGAAATGTCTGAAAATCCACACAAGGAGTACCTTGTGGGTAATTTAAACATCGGAAGAGAATTATCTATATAGGTCCACGATATCGTATAGCCCCCATATAACGGTACCCCCCGATATTCGGTATTTTGATGATTTTATCCACATTTTTCAATGGAATTGTCTGAAAATCCACACAAGTAATTTCTTGTGGGTACTTTATACCTCGGCAGAGAATTATCTATATAGGTCCACGGTATCATATATCCCCCGTATAACTGTACCACCCGATATTCTGTATTTTGATGATGTTAGCCACATTTTTCAATGGAATTGTCTTAAAATCCACACAAGTAGTTCCTTGTGAGTACTTTACCCCCTAAGAGAGAATTGTCTATACAGGTCCACAATATCGTATAGCCTCCATATAACGGTACCCCCGATATTTGGTATTTTGATGATTTTATCCACATTTTTCAATGGAATTGTCTGAAAATCCACACAAGTAATTCCTTGTGGGCACTTTATCCCTCGGCAGAGAATTATCTATATAGGTCCACGACATCGTATACCCCCATATAACGGTACCCCCCGATATTCGGTATTTTGATGATTTTATCCACATTTTCAATGGAATTGTCTGAAATTCCACAAAAGGAGTCCCTTGTGGGCATTTTACCCCGTCAAAAAGAATTGTCTACATAGGTCCACGATATCGTATATCCCCCATATAACTGTACCCCCCGATATTCGGTATTTTGAGGATTTTAGCCACATTTCCCAATGGAATTGGGAAAGGAGTTCCTTGCGAGTACTTTACCCCCAGACATAGATTTGTCTATGTAGGTCTACAATAGCGTATATCCCCCCATATATCGGCACCTTCCGTTATTAGGTATTTTAAAGATTTTAACAGAATTTTCAATGGATTTTATTTTTTTGAATATTTTCTAATTCGTTTCAAATGCTGGAGGGTATTCAAAGTTCGGCCCGGCCAAACTTACTGCTTGTTTTTTTTTTTTTTTTTTTTTTACCACGGTGGCACAGTGTATTGGGTGTTTAACAACAATGAACGGTTGAACTGAAAGGAATGAAATTAAAGGAGAGGAAGATAAGGAACTACTGAACTTGAAGGAATTACGGGAAGATTGGTACGAGAAAAATTGAGCCGCTCAGCGATTATACATGTAAATCTAATAAAGCCCCCTTATAAAAATACCTTTGGATTTTCAGGACTTTGAATATTTTCTGTCTACAAGTTCCGAAAAAATTAGAATTATGCGTTGAAAACTTTTCTTCCTTCATTTCTATACCCTCCACCTTGGGTATATTAACTTTGTCATTCCGGTTGTAACATGTCTAAATATTCGTCGTAGACCCCATAATGTGTGTATATATATATATATATATATATATATATATATATATATATATATATATATATATATATATATATATATATATATATATATATATATATATATATATATATATATATATATATATATATATATATATATATATATATATTCATAATCAGCATAAAATTCTAAGTCGATTTAACGATGTCCGTCTGTATGTCTGTTGAAATCACGATACAGGCCACATTATTTGACGTAGAGCGTCAAAATTTAGCAGAACAATTTTTATTGTGTCTAGGATGGTTGGTATTTAAAATGACATATATCGGTCCACGTTTTGGTATAGCCCCCATATAACGGTACCTCCCGATATTCGGTATTTTGATGATTTTTGCCACATTTTCCCACGAATATGTATTTGAGGGTCATAATTGGATCTAATGTTTCCATTACCTCAAGGTGTAGGGTATTAAAAGTTCGGTCCGGCCGAACTTAATGTTTTTACTTGTTTTTCAAGGTCTATTATTTGATCTCATTATAAAGCCGATTTATTTTCAATGAGAGGTTTCGTTTGAGTATAGCGGTTCCACCAGATATTCAGTATTTCAAATATTTTAGCTCCAATGGGCAACCGTATTGACTGTTCTTTGACACTTGATCTTGATGATCTTTTTAAATCAAAATGAGCAAAAATGTTGATCGAAACAATTGTTAATATAGGTCGAGACCCATCTTCCCACAATCACACTGTGCGATAAAATTCAATATTTTTCAATAATTACCGGAAAACTCAAAAAAAAATTATTAAAGTAGAGCTAAATGAAGAAGACCTGTGTACCGGCGTTTTGAAAGTTCACTTCCACTTTTTTTTTTGGAAATTTTCGGTTTAAGGTTCCAGCATATTCCATGATGTTAGGTATACAGGATGAGATAAAAAAAACTGCAACAAAGTCCAACGCCATATTTTTTTAAAATTTTTTAAATTTTATTGAATGATAACAAAAAATGTCGGAAATATTATCAAATTTTAGAATAAGTTTAAATTTGTTCGAATTGGTCACCTTTGGCTCGAATTATGGCCAACCCAACCGTCACACGCTGCCCGAATGTTAACCTGCGGTATTTTGGCCCATTCCCGGCGAAGCGCTTGCTTGAGGTCATCGACATTTTGATATTTTTCAGTGCCAACCTTGCTTTCCAAAATACTCCAGACACAATAGTCCAACGGATTGAGATCCGGTGATTTTGGTGGCCATTGTGCGCTGGATATGAAGCGATCAACTTCATTTTGTAACCATTCCTGGGTGGCGCTTGCTGAGTCCTGTTTGAATGTCCAAGGTCTGCGGCCAAAATGTTTGCGTGACCAATGCTTTAATACACCCTCCAGAATGTTTTAGCGATAATATACGGCATTTATTCTGATGCCACGGTCGATTAACACGAGCGGAGAGCGACCATCGGCTGTTATGGCGGCCCACACCATCACCATGACCGGCGCTTGAGTTCTGGTGGCCAACCGAAGGTGCACATTTTCAGCTGACTTCTTTGGCAATTAAACACGATCATTTTGTTTGTTTACAAACTGCTGGACAACGAATGTTTCCTCATCGGAGAAAACCAAATTCGGCAGTTCACCACTTTCGGCCAAGCGAAGCAACTTTTTAGCTCTTTTGAGTCTATTTTCTTTCTGTTGCTGTGTAAGTTCTTGCACTTTTTGGAATTTCAATGGCTTTACCCCGAGCTCATTTTTCAATATTTGCCGAATGGAATATTGCGATATTTTCAGCTCACGAGCCATTTTTGGCCACTGCGACGCGTGTTTCGATCAAATCGCTTATTTACTTTTCAAACCATTTCTGCTGATGTTGCTGTTTTCTTCCGTCCACTTCCTTGACGTCGGGCTAAGCTACCAGTATCACGGTAACGAGCGATGTTACAAGACACAAAAGATGTATTTACATTTATATGCTGGAGTGCTCTAACGATAGCCACTTGTGGTTTTCCAGCCAAATATAAAGAAATCACACTATCACGCTGGAATTCCATCACGAATAACTTTTTTCTGGAAAATTCTCACCAAAATGCTTTTGTGCGCTTGTAAACAATATAATGAGCTGTCACTGGAATAATTTTTACAGCTGCCGGATGAGTGACTTAGAAATGACAGCAGTCTGAATTTGGTTGCAGTTTTTTCATCTCACCCTGTACATCTGCCGGTAAAACCGACTGATACCTTTTAACTTGTTTGATATTATATTTTTTAGAAATAATATTTAGCAATTAAGATTTTATCAATGTTTTCTTAAAATTATTTTTAGAACCCAATTAAAATCCACTAATTACCCATTGATGTGATCTTTACTTACATGTTAAAACGACGACCATTGCTCGAATCAGTAATTCGTATATGACATGTTTCGATGTGTCTTTAACACGTTTCGACAGATACTTATTCCAAATTATATCAGCGGTAACATAACCTTGCAGGGCGTACGATATCCAGGTAGTTATGGCAAATAGAATTTTGGTGACCTGGGCTAAGCTGAAAATAAATGCATACATTTTTTAATGTAATATTTTCAAAAGTTAACAAATAAACAAGTAAGCAAAGGCTACAGTCGAGCGGGGCCGACCGTTGAATACCCTACAACACTATAATAAACGATACAGTTTATTTAGGCGAGATACTCGAAAGAATTGCACAAGATAGTGTGACAAATAATAAAAGAAAACAATCAGGTTTCGTTCTCTAATTTTAGAATAGCAACTTAAACTAATTTGCTCATTTCCAATTTATTGGTAGATGTTGCACTTAAATGGTCTTCCTAGATCTGGAACCAATATTTCCCAAAGATCTCAATTATTGGTTTTTGACTGAAATGCATCTATCTGAGATACAGACATTTGACTATATTCTTCAATGAAATCAGCGTAAACGAAATAGTCAGAAGTGCGTCTTTCCTGTATTTGTGAATTCTCCAAAAAGTCACTGGAATGGACATTTTCTTATTTTGTCTACAAAAGTTGGCAAACTCCTTCACACATTGAATATTTTTGGATGGCCATCCAAAACTGCTTGGCTTTTGCAATGTCTGGTAACCCCCATTCATATGTGCGTGAGGATCGGGCGATAATTACGACCTGCCGACAATTTTGCAGTTTTTTGGTCCATTTCAACCCCTAAATATATGGCGATCATCTCCAAAAAGAGTAGGCTCCTATTCTGACCCTCATCTTATCCCCATGCAAAATTTCGTAAGGATCGGGCCATAAATGCGATCTGTATGTGATATCCTGATATCCCAACTACTTAGTTTTGTTAGCTGTAGGAATATTACCAAACGTTTAATTCAAAATGAAAATATGCCAAAATAAATATGACAAAATTGAAAAAATATGAGAAAATTTTACAAAATCAATATTTTCATCTTTAGAGAGATATTTTTATGCGATTTTTTTAGACGTTTTTTCTTTCCTGCCAAGAGGCCATTCTTAATTAATGAGAACTGTCGAAATCAGTTCAGCCGTTCTCGACACATAAGAGATCTTTCAAGCATATCTTCTTTGATAGACATATATATCGCACACATTTTGCTATATATCCGATTTGTTGGATGTTAACATCAATGTAAAGATCAGAAGTAACCTTGTCATGGCTTTATGATTTCGCCGGGATTTAAAATGTTCGCGGTTTGATGAAAAATTTTGAATTTTTTCAATACAGAAGATATGGTCTATTTTACCCGCTAAATATTATCCGATGACCACCCAAATTGGTAGGCTTCTTTCCCGCCCTAAACTCCAGCTACATGCGAAATTCCGCGTCGATTGGTCTATAATTGCGACCTGTATAGCTTCTGCAAAATCCGACATTTTTTCAGTATTTGGTCCATTTCAACCCCTAAACATTTGGCGATCATCTCCAAAAGCAATAGGGTTCTATTCTGGTCCAAGCCCCACCTACATTCTAAATTTCGTGAAGATCGGACCGTAATTGCGACCTGTAGAGTGATTACAAATTAACATGGACAGACGGACAGACGGACGGACGGACATACATAGCTAGATCGACTCAGCTCGGCGAGCTAGGAAGATCCATATATACTTTCCTATATGGGAAATCAATATTTGGAGGTGTTACATAAATTCTGGCCCAATCAAACTTATAATACCCCCAACACATAGTGTTGTAGGGTATAAAAAGCAGTAAGTTGGGCCGGGCCGAACTTTGTAGACCCTACACCAAATGAACGAATGTTGATATTTTGAAAAAAAATAATAAAATCCGTTAAAATCTTAAAAATACCAAATATATGGAGTTGCCGTTGTATTGGGGTCTATACGAAGACGTGAACCTGCATAGGCAATTTCTGTCAAAGGCTATTACAATATTCTAACGCGAAACCTGAAACAATTCCGGTGAATAATGTCGCTTAAATCAACAAACTACCGAATATAGGAAGGAAGAAGCATAGCCAATTTTCTGTCATAGTTTGTTGTACTGATTACGCACTTCAATTCCGTTGTATAATGGCGTTAAAATCATCAAAATACCGAAAAAAGGGGGTAAACTTTATATGGGGCGATATAAAAACCTGAACCTATATAGCCCACTTACTAACTTAACCTGCCTACTGGCAAAATACTCATTTTGCATACAATTTTGGCCTTCTGTCTTAATTCGTTCGAAAGATAGCGTGGTTACAACAGACAGACGGGCATCGCTAAATCGGCTTAGTATTTTACGCTGATCAAAAATATATATTCTTTCTTGGATCTAAAAATGAATATTTCGAGGAATTACAAACGGAAGTATGGTGGAGGGTATAAAACCGCATTTTTTTGAGTTATGGAACTCTTTGAGTAAATGAGCGATATATATCCAGTAAGGAAAGAACAAAAGTCGGGTGGGGTCAACTATATGATAACCTACACCACTACGCATAATTAGTAGAGAATCTATTTGGCTTTAGAGCAGCTATAATTTGATTTCAGAGAGAACTATTGTATGGGAGGCATATCCAATTCTGAATCGATTTTCACTAAATTTGACAGGGACATTTTAATCTTTTATACCAAATAACAAATCTGATCCGATTATCACCAATTTCAATGGGGATCGTCCTTGGCCCAAAAAAGATATTGTTTGAAAAATTTCATCTCAATCGGATAAAAAATGCGACCTGCATTTTGTTCACAAGAATATATGGACGGACGGACGGACGGACTGACGGACAGCTGGACTGACATTCATAACTCGACTCAGAAAGTGATTTTATGAAGAACCTTCAAAAGTAACTATGGGTCTATATCGCTTCATTCTCCCTGTTACAAACAAATGCACAAATACATAATAACCTTGCCACCATGTGGTGTGAGGTATAAAAAGAATTTCATATTTATTTTCAGCTTTTACAGCAGGTGGCGCAAAAATTATCCTCCTATCAGAAAATGCTATACATTTTAAGATTGGCCCCTAATGTGTTAATTACAGCCAAAAAACATCGGGATTTTTAGACTTTACTAACTTTGTACCCTAGAAGAGAATTGTCTACATATGTCCACGATATCGTATAGCCCCCATATAACAGTATCCCCGATTTTCGGTATTTTGACGGTTTTAGCCAAATTTTTCAACGGAACTGTCTGAAAATCCACACAAGGAGTTCCTTGTGAGTACTTTATTTCCTAGAACAGAATTGAATATATATGTCCATCATATCGTATACCCCCATATAACCGTACCCAAGATATTCTGTATTGTACTACAGCCTATGACAACAATAACTTATGCAGGACCAAGTCTTCGTATAGCGGTATCTTTTTTTTTGAAATTTTTCAAATTTCTACAAAATACAGAAGGGTATAAAAAGTTCTGCCCAACCGAACTTAACTTCTTTTTTACTTGTTCTATACTAAATTTCAACAATCCACTTTTATTCATTCATCAAAAGCTAAATTTTTTACCAGTTCATACACTTCTTCCTAAACTTGATCCTCATACCAAATTTCACGGTTTTACCTCTACCGATTCACAAGATTACAAATGGTACCAAACTTAGTGCATTTTTGAATTTGAAATTTCCAAAAACTTTTTGGTTCAGCTATTCTGCACAGCATCAAAGGCCCTCATTTCAAATTTCAGATTTCCACATCTCTCACTCCCTCATATACCAAATTTAGTACCATTTAGTACTTTTGATATTTTTTGGTACGTTTTTCAAAATCCACCTCCATATATCAGCCCCATCAAAGACTCTGATTTCAAATTTCCACATCTGTCCCTTCCTCAAATAACCAATTCGGTACCATTTAGTACATAGTTCATAACAACCATCAAACCTCAACCCTACACGCTAGTAATGACCCCAATATCAACATTTCAAAATTCTAACTCCATCCGGTTGCCGAAACCCAAGTTGCACCAAATTTAGTACCACTTTATACAGTTCTTACACTTAGTATGCATTATCACAAGCAGCTCTCCTTACATCAACCCTACCTTCCCAACTTACATATTATTCTATCCTATTAATAATATCAGCGCTCAGGAAAAATCAGACCACGCTCACCAATCCAATTTCTCTTATTATACCCTCCACCATAGTATGGAGGGTATATTAAGATTGACATTCAGATTGTCATTTGTAACACCTCAAAATATACATTTTAAAATTCTATGTCGATTTAGCGATGACGGTCCGTCTATCTGTCTGTCCGTCCGTGGAAATCACTTTAGCTTCCGAACGAATTGAAGTAGATTGATAAGTATTTATTCAAATGTATATTATGTCAGCAGGACTTTTGGTATTGAAAATGGGCCATGTAGGTCCACATTCTAGTAGAGCCCGATACAACGGTACCTCCAGATACTCGGTATTTTGATGATTTTAACGAAATTATTCATCCGAATTGTTTCAAATTTGGTATTTGAAGTTCGAAATGGATACTACAGCCTATGACAGGAGTTTGCCTGTGCAGGTCCACGTCTTCGTATAGCCCCCATAAAATTGTACCTTCCGATATTCGGTCCTTTGTTGATTTTAGCGATATTATTTTCCGAAATTATTTCAAATTTGGTATTTGATGTTCGTAATGGATGCTACAGCTTATGACAGGAGATTCTCTGTGCAGGTCCACGTCTTTGTTAGTCCTCATATAACGGTACCTCCCGATATTCCGTATTTTGATTATTTTAGCTACATTATTCACCGATTTTTTTTTAAGTTTCGCATTTGAATATTTTTTTTAAGATTTTAACAGATTTTTAACGAATTTTATTGTTTTTGAGAATTGCCAAATTCGTTCCAAATGGTGGAGGGTATTCAATTACATCCTATCCTATTATATTCGGCCGGGATGAACTTACAGCTTTTTTACTTGTTTTTTTTTTTTTTTTTTTTTTTTTTTAAATCATCGCATTAGTAATAATTTTGGACAACATCCTAGTTTAAAAACAATTGAAATGGACTTATGAATACAAAGAAAAATAGAATTTTTGCTTTCTCTTAAATAGTCTCTTTTTTGGATCCATGTGCAAGCACTTGGTTTTGAGCAGTACTGATTGGTCCGTTCGACCACAACAATGGATTAAATTTTTAGTACCTTTAAGTACACTCATAGTTCGAATTTCCAAAAATCCAGCCTTATCTCGCCCCTACACACCAACATTAAGCTAAATGCAAAATTTCAGTTCTATTGGTTCTAGCTTCAGCCGTTTCGCCTGGGCGTTGATGAATCGGTCCGTCACTCTTCACTTTACTCTTATATACATATACATAGATATTTGGCATAGCCTTTTTTTTAAATCTTAAACATTTTTGGTCCAATAAATTTACAAAATCCCTACGTGGGACTTCAACCAAAGATATGCTATCTAACCTTTAGGATATCTTTTCAATTTACATTATCCACTTCTCTCTGTGTTAAAAAATGAAAACCACTTACATTTTTTCTTGCGGAATATTTAACGTTACACTGCCCAAAGCATCATCACCGTAACGCCAGTAGCCAAAAAATCCCAGTGTAATGTACAGCGTCAGGACAATAAGCATTCCCATGTTCATGATACCAAACGGTTTCAGATAGGCCTTGGGTTGGGCCATGTTCTCTTCAATGGCCAGTATCTGTAAACAGAGAGAATTGGGTTTGGCGAAAATGTCCAGAAATATTTTCCAGCAATTCAAACAGACAACAACAGCAGCAGTTCAAGGAAAACCAAACAAAAGCACAAATTGTTTCGGGCTAATTAATTGTGACTGTCAGAGCCAAAAAGTAAAAAAAAATAGCAACACGAAAAAACTACCGCCTATGTTGTTGTCCTTTCGAAATGTTTTCATAATAATCTTAATTGCTTTGGGGTTTTACATTTAATGAGACTGCTTTGTCGTTTGAAATTTATGCAATTCCATTGAAATACCCGCCGACTTACTTACCACACCAACAGCTTCCAAGGCAAATAGCACCGTTCCAAAGAATATGGGCAATTTTGATAGAGCTTCGACGGCCTTACGCTCCGACAGCGGTGGTAGTTCATCGAAAATATAGTAAAGAATCACACCAAATCCTGGGCATTAGATTTCGTTAGAAAAATATGTTATTGAATATTCACCACTCGCTCGACTTACCCACCAGCAACAGAATATTGGCGAATGAAGAAAACGGTGCCAAAAGTTTTAAATTTCTAATACTAAAGATTAAAAATAGTGGCACCAGCACGAAGCACATGTGAATCCGCAGATCTAAAACAACCAAATGCTCATCGACAATTTGTTTTATACTCTCGGCTATGAAGACCACATAAACGCAACAGATACCGAAATGGTAGAATGCCAGAAATCCATCGACAAATGGCCTGCAAAAATAAAGGATCGTTGAATACCTCTATGTTAAATAAATCAATCATAAATGTAAATGTAAATGGGAGATATATGCAAATCCGAACCGATCTCGATAAAATTTTGCAAAGGTATTTCTGAGCTGTATTTGATATATTTCCCCAAATATTGTTGTTACAGAGTGCATATTACGGCTGTGGAGGACTAAAATAACAAATCGGATGAACAATATATATTGAAGCTATAGCTATATCTGAACCGATTTCGATCAAATTTGGCATACTTATCTTCAGGCCTAATTTGGTTGTATGTGCAAAAGTCCATACTATTCGGGCTGATATTACACGTTTGGTGCACAATAAAATCAAATCGGGAGCTATACCTATCTCCAATTGTCCAAAATTTCATCTGGATCGAGTAATAAATGCGAACTTTACTTTGTTCACAAAAATACATGGACAGACGGACGGACGGACGGACATGCATAAATCGACTCAGAATGTGATTCTATGCAGATCATCAAAAGGTACTATGGGTCTATCTCGTTTCCTTTTACCTGTTACAAAACAAATGCACAAAGACATAATACCCTGACCCCCTTGTGGTCAGAATTTTTTTAACGTGTTTTGACAACCAAACAAAAGAGCGGATGGCCTCTCCGTGTCGCTTTGTAAGTACACCTTGTTAGCAACAAGATGAATAATGGCTAGTATACACATAATGTTAGAGTCAAATGTAAAGCAGCTTTTCTAATCGTATGTTAAGCATTTTTATAACATACTTTAAGGCGCTTCAACAATTTGTTATCTGAAATGAAATTCTTTATAGTGGGGTATGCAGGGTAAGATAAAAAACTGCAATATAATAATAATTTTTACATTTTTTAAAATTTTATTGAATGAAAGCAAAAAATTGTTGGAAATAGCATCAAAATTTCGAATAAGTTTAGATTTGTTCGAATTGGTCACCTTTGGCACGAATTATGGCCTTCAAACGATCAATGAAACCGTTACACGCTGAACGAATGTTGTTCTGCGGTATTTTGGCACTTGCCTGTGGTGATCGACACTTTAGTATTTTTAAGTGTCAACCTTGCTTTCCAAAATACTCCAGACACAATAGTCCAGCGGATTGGTATCCGGAGATTTTGGTGGCCATTGTGTGCTGGAAATGAAGCGAGGAACCTCATTTTGTAATCATTATTGGGTGGCGCGTGCTGAGTGCGATGAAGCTGAGTCCTGTTGGAATGTCCAAGGTCTGCGGCCAAAATGTTTGCGTGCCCAAGTCTTTAATACACAATTACCCCAAAATCGGTTGAAGATGTGTATGAGAGATACATCCAAACTTGAACCGATTCTCACCAATTTCGTCCTTAAGTCAAAAAAATATTGTTTGGAAAATTTTATCTTAATCGGATAATAAATGCAACCTGCATTTTGTTCACCAAAATACATGGACAGACGGACTTGGGCCAACCCAAGGACAAACCCTATTGAAATTGGTGAGAATCTGTTCAAATTTAGATGTAGCTCCGATATATATCTTCAGCCGATTTCAGGTTAATTGTGCACCAAATGGCCAATATCAGTCCAAATGACCTAAATTTTGACACTTCCGATCGAATTAAGTCCAGAAGTAAGCACATCTTGGGGTATAGACCCCATGTACCTCCCGATATTCTGTATTTTGATGATTTTTGCCCACATTTTTTCAAGGATTTGTCTAGAAATTGCTATTTGTCCGGTGGCAAAAATTGGTATTTGTGTGACATAATGGATTCTAATGTTTCCTTTTCCCTAAGGTGGAGGGTATTAAAATTCGGCCCGGCCAAACTTAATGTGTTATTACTTGTTATACCCTACAACACTATGTGTTGGGGGTATTATAAGTTTGATTGGGCCAGAATTTATGTAAGACCTCGAAATATTGGTTTCCCATATAGAAAAGTATATATGGATCTTCCTAGCTCGCCGAGTTGAGTTGAGTCGATCTAGCTATGTATGTCCGTCCGTCCGTCTGTCCATCTTAATTTGTAATCACTCTACAGGTCGCAATTATGGCCCGATCCTTGCGAAATTTTGCACGAAGGTGGGGTTAGGGTCAGAATAGAAGCCTATTTCTTTTGAAGATGATCGCCAAATGTTTAGGGGTTGAAATGTACCAAATACTGAAAAAATATCGGATTTTGCAGTAGCTATACAGGTCGCAATTATAGACAAATCGACGCGGAATTTCGCATGTACCTAGAGTTTAGGGCGGGGAAGAAGCCTACCAATTTCGGATTATATTTAGCGGGTAAAATAGACCATATCTTTAGTGTTGAAAAAATTCAAAATTTTTCATTAAGCCGTGAATATTTTAAATCCCATCGAAATCACAAAGCCATGACAAGGTTACTTCTGACCTTTACATTGATGTTAACATCCAACAAATCGGATATATAGCAAAATATGTGCGATATATATGGCTATCAAAGAAGATATGCTTGAAAGATCTCTTATGTGTCGAGAACGGCTGAACTGATTTCGACAGTTCTCATTAATTCAGAATGGCCTCTTGTTAGGAAAGAAAAAACGTCTAAAAAATCGCATAAAACTATTTCTCCAAAGATGAAAATATTGGATTTGTAATATTTTCTCATATTTTTTCAATTTTGTCATATTTTTGGCATATTTTCATTTTGAATTAAACATTTGGTAATATTTCTACAGCCAACAAACTAAGTAGTTAGGATATCAGGATATCGTATACAGATCGCATTTATGGCCCGATCCTTACGAAATTTTGCATGGGGATAAGATGAGGGTCAGAATAGATGCCTACTCTTTTTGGAGATGATCGCCAAATATTTAGGGGTTGAAATGGACCAAAAAACTGCAAAATTGTCTGCAGGTCGTAATTATCGCCCGATCCTCACGCACATTTGAATGGGGGTTACGGGACATTGCAAAAGCCAAGCAGTTTCGGATGGCCATCCAAAAATATTCAATGTGTGAAATAGTTTACCAACTTTTGTAGACTAAATACGAAAATGTCCATTCCAGCGACGTTTTGGAGAATTCACAAATGCAGGAAAGACGCACTTCTGACTATTTCGTTAACGATGATTTCGTTGAAGAATATAGTCAAATGTCTGTATCTCACATAGATGCGTTTCAGTCAAAAACCAATAATAAATGTTAATATTTTGCCACTTCTGAGAGATTATAGGTCTTTGGGAAATATTGGTTCCAGATCTAGGAAGACCATTTAATTGCCAATAAATTGGAAATGAGCAAATTAGCTTAAGTTGCTATTATTCGAAAATTAGAGAACGAAACCTGATGGTTTTCTTTTATTATTTGTCACAATATCTTGTGGAATTCTTTCGAGTATCTCGCCTATATAAACTGTATCATTTATTATAGTGTTGTAGGGTATTCAAGGGTCGGCCCCGCTTGACTGTAGCCTTTGCTTACTTGTTTTAACATAATTTTTATCTGTCAAATTTGTTGAAAATCGATTCGAAGTTGGATATAGTTCGCGAATTGTGACTAGTCTAAAACCATAATACACATTCAAATAAGGTTCTCAGTTTGTATGATCTACTTCACATGAATTCCCATTATGAACTTTTGTTTGTTTTGGGAGCTCTACTAAATACGCATAGTGGTGTAAGGTATCATATAGTGGGCCCCGCCCGAATTTTGACTTTTCCTTTACTTTACCATAGATCCAAATATTCCCAAAACAATTGTGACATTTTCCTATTAGTTGTCAACATATATATATATATATATATATATATATATATATATATATATATATATATATATATATATATAATTTTCTGCGTTGAACATTGGAACCTTATATATCAAGTGTGTGCGTATCTCAATAAACCACTTCAACAAATTTGATTATGATCAATACATGCTGACAGTATAGGATTTATAATTGCACTCAATATTTCTTTACTGACTGACTGTTTGATTGAATCATAAATTAATCATTCACAAATAATTCCGAAAAAAGAAAAATTCACATAAAACAATAAATAATCTTACGTTGCTATCGGCACAATGCATTTGAAGAAGGGGGGTCCTTCTTTAAATCCCATTGTCATGGCTTCTGAAAATGTTAAATATGGCACACGTTTGCGTTTGCAAAGTTCGTACATGGAATTAATCTGTTTTAAACAAAAATGAGAATAAACAAAAGCAAATGTGTTAATTATTATTTATAATAGCCCAAATAATTTGCGATTACTCACCAAAATATGCAAACAATGAACGGCCAAAAATCCCACAATTGCTGTTAACACAAAACCATTTACATAACCGGCATTGGCGAAGGCACTGGGCATGGCCAATACCCCAGTTCCTATACTGGCCTTTAGGAAGTGGGCAAATGTTTGCCAATTTCTGCAAGAGAATGTTTTAAAGAAGGTATTCGGATAAAATGTGGCAAACTTACGTTGTGGGATTTTTCACATTGCGATGAAGATGAGGATCATAATCATCATTGCCTTCACCACCACCGCCATGTTGAGTATTTTTATCCACCTGCCTCAGCGAAAGATCAGATGTTGATTCCACAATATTTTGTTGGGATTCAGTTCTAAGGAGAGAGAGAAAAAATACAGAAAAAATAATTAATAGTCTTATCGTAGATTTGTTCTTTTATTGCTGCCTAATTTATGATACGACCATAAATCACAATTAGTCAAAAAAAAAAAGGTTCAAAAATTTAATGTTTATGAGAGTGGTGGCATGGCGATAGCCCCATCCAATTGTTTAAATTTATTCAACACATCAAATACTACTGTGCCTATGTTTTTTTTTTTTTTTTTTTTTTTTTTGTACTTTGATGTTGAAATTAAAAACAAACACCATAATTAACTAATTAGCCAAAAAAATGTTTTACAACAACACACATCGTTAATGGTTTAAAGTTAAAGCTGACTAAATCAAAAAATATAAACATTGACATAAAAGCAAATAAATTGGCGTTCATTTCTTCACCAAGTGGAAAAATGATATTGGGAAAAATATGTTTTCTCGACTTAATAAGAGCCCAACAGATTGTATTTTAAAGTCTTTTGTGAAAGGGGGGAAAGTGAGGATTCAGAATCCTAACTCCATGACGTATAGAACCTAAGCAAAATAAAATAGCTCATATATTCTTCCATTTCTTGAAAATAGCAAAGCTATCTAAAGGTCTGTCAAAGGCCGACTATATGATACCCTACACCACGATGCGTATTTAGTAGAGTTCCCGTAACAAAAAAAGTTTATGTTGAGAATTTATGTGAAATAGATCATGCCTTATACGAATGCCTATCATGGCTTTAGAGTTGTCACAATTTGGGAACTATTTCCAACTCTGAATGGATTTTCAAAAAATTTGACTCAGACTTGCTGTGTAGAATTACATTAAAACCAGTAAAGAAAGTCTTAAAGTCGGGCGGGCCGACTTTATGATACCCTACACCACTACACCATGAATTTAAAGTTCAAAGGACTAAATATGCCGAAGCATTTGTATCTTTTAAATTCGGACTTGTATTGCCCATTTGATATATATGGGAGCTATATCCAAATCTGAACCGATAGGATGAACAATATATATGGGAGCTATAGCTATATCTGAACCGATCTTCACCAAATTTGCAAATATTAGACGTTTGGTGCACAATAAAATGTAAATCGGACGAAGTTGTATATGGGAGATGTATCCAAATCCGAACCGATCTCGATAAAATTTAGCAAAGGTATTTCTGAGCTGTATTTGATATATTTCCCCAAATATATTGTTACAGAGTGCAAATTGCGGCTGCGGACGACTAAAATAATTATATATATTGGAGCTATAGCTATATCTGAACCGATTTCGAATTTGGCATACTTATTTTAAGGCCTAAATTGGTTGTATGTGCAAAATTCCATACAATTCGGGCTGATACTACACGTTTGGTGCACAATAAAAGGCAAATCGAACGAAGATATATATGGGAGCTATATCTAAATTTTTACCGATTATCTCCAATTTCAATAGGGTTCGTCCTTGGGCCAAACAAATGATTTGTGCAAAATTTCATCTGGATCGGGTAATAAATGCGAACTGTACTTTGTTCACAAAAATACATGGACAGACGGACATGCATAAATCGACTCAGAATGTGATTCTATGCAGATCATCAAAAGGAACTATGGGTCTATCTCGTTTCCTTTTGCCTGTTACAAACAAATGCACAAAGACATAATACCCTGACCACCTTATGGTGTAGGGTATAAAAATATTTAATGGAGCAATAGATATACCGTACCGAGTTTCAGCTATTGGTAACATTCGGTTGAATATAAAACAAGTAAAAAAGCAGTTAAGTTCGGCCAGGCCAAGTTTTTCTTACCTCTACCATTTGGAAGAAACTTGAAAATTTTCAAAAAAAAAAAAATGCCGTCAAAAAATACAGCTTAAATGGGGACTATACGAAGACGTGCTCCTGCATAAGTAATTTTTGTCATAAGCTGTAGGGAATATACGACATCGTGGACCCATATATACAATTGTCTTTCAAGGGTTAAAGTACTCACAAAAAGCTGCTTGTGTAGAATTTCATAAAATTCCATTGAAAATTGTGGCCAATATCGTCAAAATACCAAATATCGGGGGTACGGTTGTATGGGACCTATACGACATTGTGGACCTAAATTAACAATTCTCTTTTAGAGGATAAAGTACTCACAAGGAAATCCAATTCCTTTGAAAAATGTGGCTAAAATCCTCAAAACACTAAATATTGGGAGGTACCGTTAAATGGAGGATACACGATATCGTGGACCTATATGGACAATTCTCTTTTAGGGGGTAAAGTACTCACAAAGAACTCCTCGTGTAGAATTGCAGACAACTCCATTGAAAAAATGTGGCTAAAATCATCAAAACACCGGGAAATCTTGAATCACTGTGCAATTTTAGAGAAGGGTTGTAAGAATTAACGATGACCATACCCAGCAAACAATTTCGTTGTAAAATTAGCGATGTCCGTCCTTCTGTGAAAATCGCTCACAGTTTCCGAACGAAAACTTAAATCTTAAATGTATTTTATGCTCGTAGAATTGTGAAGTGGATATCCCATCCAACCGAATTTGCTGTAAATCAGAATGTTGTGGAAATCGACACTTACAGATATATTTTCAAAAGTGTTACTTTTGACCCAATTGGCCCTTTTCATTCCGACAGAACTTCATTTTAGACCCAACAAAGTATATATATTCTTGGTTAGTGTAAAGTCCTGTTAAGCCATGTTCGTCCGACAGTCCGTAATTACGTTAGAGTCCAAAACGGCATGTGATATGAAGCTAAGATTTTAAATAGAGTTCTCTTTTGTTTGCAGGCAGGTCAAGTTCAAAGATGACATATAGGAGACAGCATTTTAATATAGCCCCCCATATAATTTAGCCTTTCCATCTTCGAATTTTCGACAATTTTAGCCACATTTTCCAACGGAATAGTTTAAAGATAGGTTCTACTGTCTGTGGCAGAATATCGGCTATAGAGGTCCACGTTTTCCTATAGCCCCCATATAACGGTAGCTACCGCTATTCGGTATTTTGACGATGTTGGTAATAGTTTCTAGAGGAACAGCATAAAATCGTTATTTAAAGTTCGTAATTTATTCTACCAATTATGGCAGAAAATTGTCTATATGGGACCAAATAAAACGGTACTTAAAACTATTCAATATTGTTATGATTTCAGCCATATTTTCAAACGGAAGTGTTTCAAATTTAATATTTGTTATTCGCAAAGCATACCAGTCACAGTAGTAGAGATTTGTCCATGTAGGTCCAAGTTTTGGTATAGCCCCCAAATAACGGTACTTACCTATGTTCAGTATTTTAACGATTTAATCCCATTTTTTTAAGGAAATCACTTAAAATTCCGTAGTTGGATTTCGAATTTCTATATAGGTCAACATATTTCTAGATCGTTCGTAATGACAGAATCGTTCGTAATGACAGAAGTGACGGATATCCCGGAATACTGGAATTTCGGCATTTACCGAGACATCGTTATATTGTTATTCTCCAAATGGAGAAGGGTATTAAAAGTTCGGCCTGGCTGAATAAAAATACTTTTTTATACCCTCCACCACACATAGTATGAAGGGTATAGTAAGTTCGTCATTCCTTTTGTAACTAATCGAAATAATCATTTTAGACCCAACAAAGCATATATATTCTTGATCAGCGTAAAATTCTAAGACGATTTAGCCGTGTCCGTCCGTCTGTCCGTCTGTTGTAATTACGCTACAGTCTAAACGAATTAAGAATAAGGGTACTCCCCGATATTCGGTATTTTGATGATTTTAGCCACATTTTCTAATGGAAATTCATACTAGAAGTTCCTTATGAGTACTTTAACCCTTGGAAGAGAATTATCTACATAGGTCCACGATATCGTATAGCCCCCATATAACGGTACCCCCCGATATTCGGTGTTTTGATGATTTTACCCACATTTTTCAACGGAATTGTCTGAAAATCCACACAAGGAGTACCTTGTGGGTAATTTATACCTCGAAAGAGAATTATCTATATAGGTCCACGATATCGTATATGCCCCATACAACGGTACCCCGATATTCGGAATTTTGATGATTTTACCCACATTTTTCAAAGGAGTTGTCTGAAAATCCACACAAGGAGTACCTTGTGGGTAATTTATACCTCGGAAGAGAATTATCTATATAGGTCCACGATATCGTATAGCCCCCAAACAACGGTACCCCGATATTCGGAATTTTGATGATTTTACCCACATTTTTCAAAGGAGTTGTCTGAAAATCCACACAATGAGTACCTTGTGGGTAATTTATACCTCGGAAGAGAATTATCTATATAGGTCCACGATATCGTATAGCCCCCAAACAACGGTACCCCGATATTCGGAATTTTGATGATTTTACCCACATTTTTCAAAGGAGTTGTCTGAAAATCCACACAAGGAGTACCTTGTGGGTAATTTATACCTCGGAAGAGAATTATCTATATAGGTCCACGATATCGTATAGCCCCCAAACAACGGTACCAACGATATTCGGAATTTTGATGATTTTACCCACATTTTTCAACGGGATTGTCTGATAATCCACACAAAGAGTCCCTTGTAGGTACTTTATCCCTTGGAAGAGAATTATCTATATAGGTCCACGATATCGTATAGCCCCCATATAACGGTACGCCCTGATATTCGGTATTTTGATGATTTTACCACATTTTTCAACGGAAATGTCTGAAAATCCACACAAGGAGTACCTTGTGGGTAATTTAAACATCGGAAGAGAATTATCTATATAGGTCCACGATATCGTATAGCCTCCAAACAACGGTACCAACAATATTCGGAATTTTGATGATTTTACCCACATTTTTCAACGGAATTGTCTGAAAATCCACACAAGGTAATTTATACCTCGGAAGAGAATTATATATAGGTCCACGATATCGTATGGCCCCCACATAACGGTACCCCCGATATTCGGTGTTTTGATGATTTAAGCGATATTTTCCTATGGTATTGTCTAAAATCCACACAAGGAGTTCTTTGTGAGC